CATATAAGGGCAATCCATTCCATTATTTTACCAGTGTAGCAGTTTGCTGTTATTTTCCATAAAGACAGATTTAATAAAAAAAGCAATTACAATAAAATACCAAATTAATATGCTTTCAACACAGGGTGTGAAAGACAAAAGGTTAAAATATAAAAAATATATATTGATTACATTGGGCAGGGTTGGATAAGTGCTACTGAATCTGAATATTTTTTTTATTCCTAATGCATTAAACAGTTGCTTTTTTAAAATTCCTCTTACAAAACAATAAAGCTGCTAGTAAGTAAAATTGTATTGTGCTTCAATTTATAAATGACAAAAAAATACTTATAGAATGAAGTTCGCCGTTTTACAAAATTAACTTAATTCTTAGTTTTCTGACTATTTTATCATTGTGTATTATGTTACAGTATGCAGGTGTATGCAAAAAATCCAAACAGTGAAGGAAAAAATACTCAGGGAAATTGTGCTCAGACACTGAGAACTGAAAGGAAATTCATGTCAAGATATTCATCTTTAATTATTAAATTAAAACCTATCTTTCAGTCTTGCTTCATAAGTGGTAGATAACATATTTAAGGTGATTATTTCAGGCAGTCACTTCATGCTGAGAATTATAGTGGCTTACTCAAAGCTCCCCATAAAGTGAATTGTTAAAAACAAACCAAAAAAAGTAAGAGACAATGACGCAATGCTAAGGATGAAAATAGTTTCTACCTTGAAGTTTCAGAAGCAAGTCACACAAGTTTGAACAATTTGTGAAATGAGTATGCTCTACTGATGCATCATTATAAGATTGGACAAGGAGAGCTTTTCAGTCATGGTTTCGTAAGGTTTAAAAGTAAGTTTATGGTATATTAGATCTCATGCTTAGAATATTTTATGTTCTTTGGGAAATCCCCCATAACAATCCACTACTTACAACACAATTATGACTTATGAAAAACCTACAACCCGACAATGTTTCTGCACAAGGCAAACAACAGATGTGTCCCATCACCCTTAAAGCTCAGACCTTACATCTATTAACAGTTTTCTTTTCCCTAATGTGAAATCAGATCAATTGGCAGGAACAGAAAAAGAGAGAAGCTGCTGAATTCCTAAAGCACTTTTGCATCTGATCAATATATTTCTTTACTAAAAGAACACATGTTTTGACTAATAAAAAGAGTACTTTATAAGATGAAAAATTCATAATTTCAATTTATTTCATTTTATTCTCATAATGCTCATAGTAAGTCCTGTACTGCAGGCCATTAAATTTCACTTTCATTTCCCACTACACTGTATCTGACTATTCTATGGTCAAAGTGAATTTAATAATTCTAATGCGTAACATTTAAAAAATTAAGGTTTTAGCTTTGGAATCTCTTCATAATTCAGCTTGAAAAAAAAAGCATGTGTATCTGAAATTAATACAAGCACACATGTCTTCGTTTGATTACTATTGACTACACATGTCCCTATGTCCCTTAGGATACATGGTGATAAGTCTTCAATCAACTACTTCATTAATTTTTTAATGACACAAAATCAGAATTTTATTTTTGATCTAGTCAAAAAATCTTTTAAAAATTTACAAATTACATCTTTCAATAATAATAATAATAATAATAATAATAATAATAATAATAATTTATTAACCTCCTCAATCCTGATGTCACCTGCGGATGACGGATGTAATGATTGATTATATGTTAGTGGATTACTTTAAATTTTAGTAGCGTTTTCCCTTGCCATCGAGGGTAACTGGTTGGTGTCTTGCAATACTGTTTTCAAGTCGGGACGTTCTCATAACAAGACAAATTTTAAGTGGGAGAGCATACATGGATGCGTGTCTGTAAGTAATCATATTTTGGACTGATGACTAAACACATCAGTCTTCTTAAAACATTTACTTTAATGGCAGACATTTTAGTCATTGTTTAAAATTATTTAATTTCTCATAAATAACAGTTATTCGGCAGTTTCTCCTGATTGATGTGTTAGGTCGTAAGCAAGTAGCACACGTTTTAAGAAGAATAAATTTTAGTTGTTTAGAATCAAAATTTCCGATTTTTAAAACAAATAATAATGATGTTCTTATGCAGATTCTCACTTCAGATATTTTGTGAACGAAATAATAGGAAAATACCTCTAACTGAAGTTCAAAGATTACTTGCTATTCATAGATGATATATGAACAAAGGATGCCCTGCATCTTGCTGAAATTCTAACAATGACTTCAAAACAGATACAGAATGTCAGGATGCATGCCAAACTCAGCTAAAGTAAGATATTCTCTGTCTGCAAAGTATCTGTGCATATAAGGAAGAAATTGTTTCAAATCATTTCATGAGATGTTAAAACCTCTCTTTGCTTCTTTTATTACATAGAAACGGATTATAATCTTCTAATTATGATTTTTCATTATTTTGATGTAAAATTGTTTGTTCAATTAAACTCCAAACCAACTTCAAAATTGAGAATTTGTTGTCATTTAAACCTAAAGTCTCCTCTAGGTTTATTTTCCAAAAACTATGACAAGTAATTTTTTTCACATTTTCCCCTTGCGTTGGGTATTTATAGATGTATAAGTAAAAATAAAATTAAAAATTGTTTTCAGAACTGAGGAGGTTATTGAAGATAGAAAGACCTACATTGCATTGTAAGGAAATATTAAAAGCGTTATTCAGAATTCTGATGATTCTTCAAAAATAAAGTTTAGGTATATTGTACAATTATTAAAAATGATTTTAATTTTCTACTCTTAATACAAAAGAAATACACGGGACATCAGTACATACCTATGCATGATTTACACTTTTGTCACCCATTAATTCCATATTTACATTTACCTATAGGTGAAATTCCTAATTATTTTCTTTATTCAGAAAGTTTCTATTACCAAATAAAATAATATTGTTCTTAATAAGTGTACCAACAGAAATCTTATGACCCACAAGGAGATCAAAATAATTTCACATATTTGAAAGTCTGCACTCAAGGAAAAAATAAGTATGATTAATCGAAAATACATTTTCAGAGAAAATAAATGACAAGTTATTATTTACTACAAGACAAAAATTACTTTAATACCATTTATGGGTGTATTGTACACTGCAGACAAATCTCTCTGATATAATGGACAAGTCAGATACAGTTTCTATTTAACACAATTTAAACGAATGATAGTTATAAAGATACCTGTTATAATATGTGCACTATTTTCAATGCACTTCTATTGGCCATAAATAATAATAATAATAATAATAATAATAATAATAATAATGAACAAAAAATTAAAATTGTAGGAAGTTTGATAACCAAGCAACAAGTACTTGGGACACAGTGAGTAAAAAGCAACTTTCTGAATGACATTGCACAAGGCAGATTGTAAATCCCAAAGACTTCAGACTTCCTATTTTATATTAATAATATTATATAACTATAATGATCAGAAGCATTAATCATGAAAATTAAGGCCAAAGGATCCTTCTCATCAATAGCTATAGAGGTAATTACAATCACCAAAAAAAATAAGGCAAATTATTTTGGTTGTCTTAAATTACCTAACCTGATAACAAAAATGTATTTTACCAATCTGAAAACCTGAATTATTTCAGAAGTGTTAAGAGTAAGATGAAATTAAACACTACAAGGTAACTTGTACATAGAGGCAATAATACATTTAGTCACTAAAAGCAAATAGTAATAACTGCAAGCTCTTAAAACGCCACAAGTGAAGCAGTACACATTATACTTTATGCATCTCCTAATTAACAAGTAAGCATCTCGGATTTAAAAAATTAAGCTTTATAGGCCAAATGTTCTTACAATATGATTTAATATATTACAAATGCTTTTATTTCTGAATGAATTCATCTCCCATCAACAAAAATAACTTCTCATCAAAAAGCGAAAAAACAAAGTGCACATCATATCAAGATTAATTTTCAAGATATGGCATGAAATCTTAATTCTTGATTAAATGAAAATTAACTGTTTATCTTTGAATAAGCACCAGCTCATAAGAATAACTTATTTTTTTCATAATTTCATTAAAAAGATATGTCCTTAATTCCATAATTAAGCCTGCCAAAGAGGCTACTTTAAACATATACAAGTCCTAACAACCCTCTTTTGCTACGAGGAATACTAACACAATGTTACCACAAATTTTATCTCTGCACATCAAATAAGAATTTGAGATGCATTTTCATTTATTTATACAGAAAGGTATTAAAAGTGATTCACACTAATAAACACCACAAATACAATCTGCTTCCCTATTTAAAGAATCAAATGTAAATAGAATTTTATCAAAATTCAATGAATATGGTACAAATGCAACACATCTAATTTTTAAAAGCAGGCCCACAGGTCATCCTGTTAGTTTTAACAAGATTTGTTAAATCATGAGCCTCCTTACATCACACTGCAGGTCAAGGGTGAAGTGGCAATCGCTCGATTAAACTACTTAAATACATGATAAAAACAAATTAAGTATAATTTTTCTTTGTTCTTTTTCATTACGTAATTTGATTACAGCAACAATGATATTCTCCAAATATTTGTTACATTTATAATTACTCATGATTATTGTTTAATACCTTGTGTCTCAAATATATTGAAAAGCACAATGCTTAATTTTCTTTAATAAAATAATTATTTCAGAATTTTATAACAAAAATATTTTTGCTGAAGGTCCACGGAAGTGCTCCATTTGGTCTGCCGGCTGATACACAAGACACAATCTCAGACAAAAAGCATCAATCATAATAAAGTTGCTTCATTATTAGTATATCAAATAACAATAAGAAACAACCACAAACCATTTAAAAAACTAATTGCAATAATTTGAAAGTAAGAGCTGCATTCACACCTTGAGCTACAATGGAAAAACAACTTAATTTTATTTACTGGAAAGAAGTTATGAAGTACAAAGAATGAAACCAATGGAGCAAATTTTGTGCACACCAAATATATTAAAAGTATTAATGTTAGTTAAAAATGCTTACCTCATCAAAGAAAACCTGTGTTTTGCGAAGTATGTGTTTCAGCTCAGTAAGCTCAAGAAAATTACGTTTAAGAGCTTCAGCATTCTGATTAACTTCACGTAATTCATTCTCCAACTTCTCAAATGTAGCCTGTCAACAATAATACAAATACAATATATGTTTATTAAATGATTTATTTGTTTCTTGGGGTTTAAGTGCCCTTCCACTGATGAGGTCTTTGCATCTCATCAGTGATCCAATGAGAAGATGATGAATAATGATTGAGTGATGGAGCGCAAGGGTGAAATGTGAGGGAAAGGTAATGGGAGAACTCCAAGTAAAGAGTAGGAGATCTAACTTTCACAGTAGAAATTCCAAATAGAATGGCTCAGGATTGGACCTAAGCCTCAGCAGTAAAAGGTATGTACTAGCAATTATTCCACACAATTGCTAAACAATGACATACATTTCAAATAATATATACTAGTGGTTTAAAGAAAAATGTTATTAACTGAACCAATTAAAAGTATCATAAGACAAAATTTTGAATTGCACTGACAAAAATTGTATAATGTGAATATAATATCAAGTTAGGTACCAAGATAACAGCAAAATTGTCCATTATCACATTAATTTTAATAAAGGCATGTAATTTTCATTAAGGATAAGATGCCCCCCCACCCAAAAAAAAGAATTTTGACAATAATTCAAAGTAACTGTAATCCTAAAATGCAAAATTCTGATGCATTTTGTGCAAAAATACTTTTACACTTAAGTTGACTCATTTTGCTTTTGCACTTCAAGTAAATGGTGTGAGGCTCCAGCCTTCAGCATCTAACATTTGTTTTTACATCAAACAACCTGAATATGGCAAACGTAACATTACCGATGTATTTTAATGCCAGGTATGTTGCCCCCCTCTGTACCTTTTTTGCAGTGCGCACAGTAGCTAGGGTACTTTAGCTGAAATTTCTATTCCTGAAGTACAAAGTTGAAAGTATCTGGGTGTAATAATCTAAAGCAACCACAGCTGAGCTGATCACTTTGGATGTACCATACACAAGTCTTGCGAAGCTGTTTTGTTATGCGCAGATTACGAAAAGCTAACTGTAACATGAAAATATAGGCTTACTGTTCCTTGGTTGATCCTTAATAGAATAAGGAGTAGAGTGCTGGGATCATTAGAGGAAAGGTCAGATTAAAGTGTTAAACTGAAAGAAAAAAGAAAAACAAGGCCAAATTTGTGAACAGAAACAATGGAGGAGGCTGTCAATTAGGTATCATTAGTCATCTGCAAAAAAGCAGTTCACATACAATAAAATGCTGACAATAAAGCAAGAATATAGGAAAATTCAGCTTTGTGAATAGGATGACTTAACTGGAACAATTGACCTGCCAAGATGTTAGAGACTTTTCCCAGAAGCATGGAAGTTATGTGTTCGAGAGCTCTTAAAGAGTGGAAATGTAGATGCAGGTGTGTGCAGTGATGTTTTTCAAGATAAGGAAAGGGCAAAAAAAAGGAAGGGGAAAGTGTGGTATGTATACTTACTGTTAGTAAATTAATTACTAGGTTTAGATTAGAAACGATAATGGGAGGGAGATAACGAGAGGGATATTTGAATTGATCTCAAATGCTCTGTTTGCCATCTGTTGAAATTTTTGCTGTTGATTTCATGGTGATAGTGTCCTAAATCCAATTTGAAGTGGTAAATTAGCTCTGCTGCCTCAATAAATTCCATTTCCCTGCCTACATGAACTACAGAATGAGAGCCCTTTGAATAAAATTGCATGGTGTTCAACAAAATCTCCTCTCTCCTTAAAATTGACTTTGTTTTGGCATTTTTTTAAATTTAAATCTGATTTTCTTAAATATGTTCCATAATGTGTTTTTTTTTTCTTGAGAGTTCAATGAATGGTTTTTCTTTAATCACATTGTAGTTTTCTAAGAGTCAGAATTTTCTGACTAACCTTGTAATATTCCCAAAGTTGTCTTTTCACATTTACCAAAATCATCTAAAAATACTCATTTCTTTTGCGATCTCTTTTTTTTGGAGTCACAACTTTGTGACCCCTCAGTTCTGCTTCACATCTTTTATTGCATTGTAAACTGTTCTTGTACTCTTTCCTATTAAAGCTTCAACTCTGTTATTCTAACTTCTAATGTTATTAATAACCTCACTTTTCCTCGCAGCAATAGTTCACTACATTATTTATAATTAATTTACTGCCAGAACACTATCTCCCATACCTAAGTAGATTTGATTTTTCTGCAGACATCACACAAAAACACACATTTTTTCCCAGCCTGTCTCAGCTGGCATCAGCATTTGTACAATGCTTTGACATCTGCACTATTCTTGGTTGTTTGGGCTTGCTTTCAAAATAACTGTATTCCTAATTCTGCCATCTTCAAACATGTAATGAATGAGTAATACAGAGTAGAGACACTTTTTTAATTGTTTTTACACTTTTTTAATTGTTTTGTTGTTTTTTGTATTATATATCCGTTTATTTTTAATATTTGTTTACATCATTTCTTTTAATTTTTATACTTTTACTTTTTTTTGTTTAACTGCCACCAAGCATACATTTAATTGGAGATATATACTATTATTACCCATCGCATTTGAGGTAAAGCATCCACTGGCAAAGTTTTTCAATTCTTCGATCTTAATGCCTTAATGCCAAAGCATCTTTTTTTGTGTCAATTACTTATTCCAATCAGACATACATTGAACTGACTCTACAATAACGGTTTCTTATTTACTAGGAGATGAACCAAACAAACTAATATTATTTGTAAGAAATTGAAGTTATTACAAAACAAAATTAAACATCTTACCTCTAAATCAATCATCTCTCGGGGTTGGGGAGCTTCAGGGTTTTCTCCAGTATCCAGCATAGGAATTTCATCTTTTTTGATCTCTTTTTCTAAGTAACGAAGTTTTCGTTCCATTTCATCACACCTCCTTACCTCATTCACAAACTTGCGTTGAAATGCATTCACATCAGGATTCAACTATACAGAGAAAAACTATTAAAATTACCTGCCAAGCTATGCAACTATTATTTAGTGTATAAAAATGGTTTCCTCATTTAAGTTCCTAACTTAAGTACTACACAGCAAAAACGTATTAGGTACCATTACAAACTGATAGTAACTTAACTTATCGCAAACTGAAATACTTATAGCATAATTGAAACTTATAGCAAACCGTAATTAATTTCATTTGGTGAACTCTACAAAAAATTACGAGCAACAAAATGGGAAGCATAAATTGTTGCGGCATCCAATCAATCCATTAACTGGGATGAGACATTTCAAAACCAAATTCCGGGGACAGCTAAATACATCAAATATATAAATACTGAACTCAAGATTTTCTAAAATGTACAGTTTACTTATACTTCATAATCTAAACAAACACAAATTCTACTCACATCACGAAATTGTACCAATCCCAATTCTCCTAATTCCGAAACACATGCGTAAGCTGCTTCACTTTGCAAAAAAAGTTGACATAATGTCATTTCTTCGCTTCGGAAAAGAGACCCCATTTTGCTACTGCCAAATATTCCAAATACGTCAAACACTTCAATACAAATTAATAAAACGGGCGAAACTCGCCCTCGCACTCCATACACTCCCTCGTCAGGTGACTAATTCTGACGTTCTGACGTCTCGTGATATTTCCTGTATATCGATTGAGAATCACATGAGTACTTTTGATCGATAGCTTTCTCGAGCGGCTTCCATTGAACAGTGTTTCGTGACAATTTGCTCTTTCAATGTGAAAATGTTTTTTTATAGATATACTAATAAAAAATAACGCAATAATTTCTCGTTTTCTGAGCCTTGAATTGTAAGAAAAGTGTATTGGCACACTTTTTTAAACCATGGTTAATGAATATTTAAAAGAATGCGAGACACAAATAGATCAAAATAGACTATTACTCTGTAGAGTGTAAAAGAGTTAGAGTAATATTTTTAGTGATATAATTTGTACTATATTTACACGAGGAAGAAATTAGTGATCTAAGACTATTTTGAAACATCTCGGACCTCGATGAGTTCATTGTGGTTCATTTACTGAATATTCAATATTTTGTTTTTATATACTATTATTGTTATGTGTCATAAAATGAATAATTATCTTAACGTAGATTTATGTAATAATACCAAATAAGTTAAGTTTTACCGAAATTTGTTAATAATTTATTTTAAGGTGATGGTAACTTTGATTTATTAATTTCTGTGGAGACAGGCAGATCACAGACTCTCTATATTACGGCGTTGATGCCGCGCCGCGATTTCAGCCATTTTCCCAGCATTCTCCGCTGTTTACTGTGGCTATACTACGGTTAGCGTGTGATTTGTGTTCATATTGCGTCACCGCTTATTGTTTCCTAATTTGAGAATTGTGCTTGTGACTGCAAACTTACCTCTAGTTACTCTTGTCTTCGTTTTTTACCATTAATTGTTTATATTGCTGTCAAAATGGATATTCGTCCAAATCACACCATATACATCAATAACCTCAACGAGAAAGTGAAGAAAGAAGAATTAAAGAAGTCTCTTTACGCAATTTTTTCCCAGTTTGGCCAAATCTTGGATATCGTGTCTTTGAAAAACATGAAAATGCGAGGACAGGCGTTTGTTATTTTCAAAGAAATAAGTAGTGCCACTACTGCTCTTCGATCTATGCAAGGTTTTCCCTTCTATGACAAACCAATGCGCATTCAGTACAGCAAAACAGATTCGGATGTCATATCAAAAATGAAAGGAACATTCCAAGAAAGACCCAAAAAAGTTAAGAAGACTGTAGCCCCGTCTGAAGAGAATGTACCAGATTCCAAGAAAGCAAAACGTAAAGCAGCAAAGGAACAGGCACGCCTTTTGAATCCTGCTGCAATGTCAGGCATGGGTCAAGGAATGATGCCTGGTTATGGACAAATGGCCGGAGGACAGACTGTTGGCTCACTTGTATCAACATCTGTACCTGAACAGCCACCTAATCAAATCCTGTTCTTGACTAATTTGCCAGATGAAACAAGTGAAATGATGTTGTCAATGTTATTTAACCAGTTTCCTGGCTTTAAGGAAGTTCGTTTGGTGCCAAATCGTCATGATATAGCTTTTGTTGAATTCGAGAATGAACTCCAATCAGGTGCTGCAAAGGATGCGTTACAAGGTTTTAAAATAACACCATCGCATGCAATGAAGATATCGTTTGCCAAAAAGTAATGTCTTGTCCTATATTTATATTTCATTAAGCGAAGTGTGAATGATGAATACATGTGACATTACATTACAAAGAGAGACAAGGACTATGAGCATTTTCAAAACTCCTTTTTTGATTAAAATTGTAACCGCAATTACTTCCCAAATCTTTGAAGAGGTGTAATTGTTTGCATTAGTTTGCTTGCGGTTTCATACACAAATTTGTTATAATGAATCGGATATCCTAGTGACAACAAATTTTATTGTTTGTACTAGTTCATCTGTATTTGTTCTTTTGTATAAATGAAAGTAGAAATTTTACTGTTCTGTACTTCTGTTGAATTGTGTATTGGTTAAGATGGATGTGTAGCTTGCAGTGCTATTACCCCTGTAGATTGAGGAGAGGAAAATGTTCTGTGTTACAGTATTTCATTGTTGGTTTACTTTTAATGATCATAATGAGGAGTTTTGTGAGAGCATTGCACTGTTTTTTCTATATATTGTAATAAATTTAGTACAATAAAAATATATATATTTGCCTCTTATTGAAGTAACTTTTTTTGGGGGGGGATCTATTTTTTACACACTAAATATTTACATTGTTGATATTTACATTGACAAATTTTGATGGCCTAAAACATCACTAGAAATGATCAATAAATTGCTTTTAAAATGATGTAAAAACAAAGTAAAAGGATGGGCTGAAGTCCAGTATACAGTACAATTTATGGAAGTCGTGTAAACCGGCACTTCGCACTACTCCGGTGATTACTACGCAGTTTGAATTCTGGAGGCTTTATCAAAACGTGCTTTCTTATAAAAGTGAATTGGTAATTGTTTTGGATAGACTCAAGAATGTTTATAGTATAGCGAGGGCCAAAGGCCCGAACCTCAGCGTGACTTAGATCCAGGTGAGAAAACTTGCTGATGAAAGTAAATTAGCATTACAATGTGTCAGGGACAAGGCCTATGAAGGGCGAGCCATGAAAGTCGCCTATCCTTAAGTTTTATTCATTTCTATCAGAGCGTTTAGCTTAATTTGAGCAGGGCTTAAGGAGACCCGTCCCCTACTGCCATGCTTCTGAGGGTATAAACCCTGCTTTAACCAAAGGATGTAATAAGCTAGATCAGTACCATTTGGGAGGAATAACTCAAGCTGTGGGATATGATACTGAGTAATCAAGGCTTTTTCCTTTCGTGCAAATGAAGTTGGCTAGCAAACGTTTGGTTTGGACTTGCAAAGAAATCGAATGGGTTACCAAGTAATTCTGTGGACATTTTTAGGAAGTACCATTAAAATCAACAAAATCAGGGAAACTGCTTTAAAAATCTGGGTCATTTGCTTTTGTCATAGCATAAAATTAATACCTATTCTTAAAGACATTGTTTTAAAGTGAAAAAAATATTAAAATTCACCCCCTAGTAATAGGTTATATTCACGCAAAACAAATCCTTAATTCTCAGAAACTTCTGAAGGAATGTATGAGTCAAGTTGACGTTATTTAAGGTCACATTTACAACTTGTAAAAATTCAATATTTCAATTTAATGAAATAAATGGTTTTCTTGTCTTTTCAGCAGATATGCCTAAGAATTTAAAAATTATCTAGAAATTAATAAATTTCTTGAAAAAATGTTCAACTTATCCACAGTTAAGGTGATTTGGTCTGGCACATCCTTGAACATTGAAAGATGTTTTCTTAAAAATTGTTTAACTATTATTGGATCTTCTGATCAGTTGAATAATAGTACACGCTGTGCAGGCACAGTAGTTGAGAAATTCACTTTTCACCACCAGGTGCCTTAAGGCGCATACAAAATCCCTTTTCTGGAATTCTAGAAAAATCAAGCTAAAAATAATGCCACTCGGAGGAATCAAATAAGTGGTCATGAGTGCCTTAAAATCCCTTCAAAAATGGAATAAATTCTTGAAACCTCCAATAACCTTATTTGAGAACTCTCAGAAAGTTTTGGAAAGATCTAGCAAAAATGGTCAGTGCTCCAAGCTGAGATGCTCTGAATGATAGAATGGAGGTCTAAAGATTAAGTAGTGTTACCTTCTTACTACATACAGCCCTGAGAGCATTTTTGGAAAGAAAGTTTCCATCTACATTAAACTAAGGAACACAGGAATAAATGAAGCCAAACTTTAGTCTTTCATACATTTTATTTATGATACTGTTTGACTGAATTATAATTTTTTATTTGGCTCATGCTAATTTATTTTTGTATCATACACAATATGATTTATTTCTGGACCTTTACAAGTGTTAAAAAAAAACTTACATATTTTTTTTATCTGTGTGTGTTTCTACTGAACATAATATGATGGTTGTTAACTTGTAAGGTCTACACATAACACTGTTATCAATGTCTATATGTGACAGGAAAAAAATAATTACATTACACTGAATCAGGAATTTTTAATTCTTTATGGATATTTACAGAGAGACATGATAGATAGTGAATGCATATTCAACAACAGCACCAATCTATTGTAACTGTCAGGTTAACAATTCTAGATTTACTACATACAGTGCCACAGATTATTTTATCTTGCTTATATTAGCCAACAGTTTTCCAAATTACATTTCAAAACTACACTGTATAAATTACAGCTATGTACAAAAGAAGTGTGATATGAATCTTTAGAAAAGGCCAAATGTAAGGATCCCTCTCAACTGGAGAATATCAAATTCTTTTTTGTGTAATACACTAACCACAGACTTCTTCTACATTAGTCACATTGACGTGTCTTCTCATTTCTACAGTTACAAAGTTTCAGTCAATAAATAATGAAAATATATATTTACAAGTGCATATAATTTTTAAATAAAATAGTATTCATAAGAAAAATGATGTAAAACAATGCAGTATGTCTGAATAACAAAGAGTAATTTTTGAGAAACTTGAAATTTGAAATATACTTTGCTTCACATTATAATTTGAATTTATTTCTTCAAAATATGTTAAAAAAACCTTATATTTTTCATTAATTAGGGATGTTTTACAGTTTTTAATTAATGATCGTATAAACATTTCAGCAATTGTGACTTTTATACTGAATGAAATACCTGAAGATTGCCTGCACGACAGATATAAAGATATATCGATAGATATAAGTGTTAAAGCAATATTTTATATACATCTCAGAATAACATCAAACTTAAATATCTTTATTTTACCCATAATAAGAATAAAAAAAAACATGGAATGATGAAGAAAAATTATCACACTTCCTTTCCCAGAATTTTTAGCCAACATGATACGAACTAAATTTGACTAGGAACACTTCAGAATGCAAAATATTCCCATGTTCAGAACAATGAAATTGATTTGGAGTAAAGATCTTAGTTTTCTCTAGTATGAAAAATCTGAATAGACTACTAAATCTTTGATTAATTCCAAAATAAGTATGATAATATAACAAGACATTACTAGAGGTTCCTTTAAACTTAAACAAGGTCATATTCCATTGTACTAAAAAATGTGTTAAAAATTGAAGAAGCATGTTTCAGGGGTCATGTGCCAAGAAATTCATAAAAAAAATTCATTCTTTTACTGGTAACAAAATTCTGAGAGCCAGTATCTCAGCAGGCTTATTCGGTATTAGCTATCAGTCTAATGTTAGTGAATATTATAAAGATAATTTTTGGAGGACGATCATTGAAATGTAACTCAAAATCATTCAATAAATAAAGTCTGAACTGGATTACAAAAAGAATACCAATAAAGGTTATTACATACCTTATTTTACCCAAATTAACAATGCTGCAACACTAGAAATACATCCATAAACAATGGGAAGGAAAAATGTGTGTTAGTACACTTTAAGTGGGTGACATTGACACATTTTACCTCTGCCAAATAATGCATAATGATATTTTCATATTGCCACATAAAAACTTTTCTTTGTTGGTGAGATATGAAACAGCAATCTCTTTAATGTCAAGAGTTCAACAGAGAAATTTAAAACATGATTTGTTTACTGTTATGGACATGCAATTTTTACCACACAAGATGCATCTGAGAAACATTCAATGTGACTATCACAAAAAACTTAATATTCTAATTATATATGTACAATGATTTACAAAACATTTTCATACATAATCAATCAAGCATTCTGGAAGAACAGTTGCCTTCTTATTTATAAAAGTCAGTCACCGAGTACACCATATTGTGCATGTATTAGAGCCTGATTTGAAAGGACGGCCACTTCCAATTTTGGACTGGTGTCGGAGTGTCTCGTGAGGTCAAATTCCTCAGATCTAGTAAAACATTTTACAGTAATATACAAAACATTGAATTAAGTATCTATTTGCATTCAAAAAATCCATTTCACTTCAATTTCACTTGTATTTAGAATGGAAGTCAATGAAAATCAATTTATGTAAGAAAACTTTTCTCTTACAAATGCTCAGCTTTAATAAACTTATACTTGTTTTAAAATATAATTCACAGGATTATTACTCCACTAGACCCAAGTGAACAGAAGCAACACTTGGTAGAGACAATCAATATTTTTTTAAAATTTAACTGTGGAGCATATTAACCAAAGGCAGTGTATTGGTTTTAAAGAAACATTTCAAATCAGTCAGACACAATTTTTCAGAATGGAATTCTTATATTCCAGGAAGTTCAGATTTACTTTCATTATACATTTATAATAGAGATTGGTTATGTTCTTTGCAAATGATTCTATAACTTTTAATAAATAATATTAAACATATTTTTAAAAGTACATAAAAATTATTCTTTTCAATTTTTATTAAGAAGGAAACTATTGCAATTATTTTTGTAATTTCTTATATACAAATAAGCAACAACGTCATTTTTATTTATTTCATTGTTAGATGGTATAAAATAAACTCTCAGATAATTTTTCAGTGTAAGGTTTCTTTTTATATACTTCAACATCTTCCTATGAACTTCCTTGTTGAATTTAACAACTTATTGGAAGAGTATTTGGAAAGAGGAACAGTAAGTAACAAAATAACATAATGAAAAATAGCAGGTGTTTTTTTGTTTACACTTGCTTCTAAATGACACTGTTGTCAAAATTTTGAAAGACAAAATTTGTAAAATTCTTTATAGCTCTGCAGTTTTAGACACAAGTTTGCCTCCATTTTCATGATTCTTCTGTATTTCTCAATTTTTTAAATTGTTCACAGAGAATAACAACATCAAAGAAGATTGTCCCTGCTTCAGAGAATGGAAGGAATATTCATCCTAATATTTCTACAGCATCTGACGATTTATTAATTTATTTTTAAACCATGACACAGTAAATTTTCACACCTGATGGCTTTCACATAAACACAACAAATAGTGAATATTACTGCATCTACTTTCAAACTGCAATTAGTCAGCTTCCAGATTTTCTCCAGTTCTTGTAGATACTTTTTATTTACACATTTCCACTAATCTTACACTATAATTCACAAAATATTCATTATTTGCAAGCAATTGTTGCTCTCATTTTACAAGGATGTTTACATAAACACTCTAACTTTGAGCTCTCAGTGGGGGGACCACAAACGTTGAATGACAGTAGATACTTTTCCACTGTGAAAATCATTGCACAGATCACCTTTATCAAGCAATTTGATGTCCTGAGATGGAGCCCAATCCTTCTCATCACTAATACTTTTTGTGGTAATTTTAAATTCAAGTTGCAGTCTCACTTGCTTTTATGTTATGAAACAATTCAGTATCTGGTCACAGACACGTGAATAGTACTTGAATTAACACAAACAGCAATTACACAATTACGCACAAAACGGAAGTGATCTTCAGTCATATAATTCATTTCCTAGCACTAAAAAGAAATGACAAACGCTACATGACTCCAAGATAAAGGGATGCACAACCATTGCCCTACATTTGAAGGGTCTTATGCAATGGAGTCAAGTTCAGCCTTATATTAAATAACTGGGCTCGTGCTTCATCGAACTACTTCAGACGGTTGATTTCCTTCTCCAGGGCTTGAACTGGATGTAGTAGATGTACCTGTATTTGGAAAGGAAGAGTTCTGGAACACATTACCAAGATTTTTGAGGCGTTGACTGCCAGCTGAACTACCCACTAGAGTACCACCACTGCCTAATGTATTGTTGCGAGATGTTTGAGATGTTGGATAATTAGGCTTGGCATAAGCTGGAGTATCATCTAAAAAAAATTCAATTAAATTCAGTATTATCATAGGTGTGGACAGAATATTGACAAGCTATAACTATTATTTCTCTGTATGTTAAAATATATCACACAGTAGTATGAACATAATAGACAATCCTTTTATTTACCTCTTCTACAATGTTGTGGTGTAGCTGTCTGACTTGTGTAAGGACTTGAATCACCTACAGATGAAGCTGTGCTTGTAGCAACAGCTGGTCGCAGATGACTACGAGCTGGTGGTGGACGGGCACAGCTGTAATTACTATCAGTGCTATAGGATGGAGAAACTGGACGTCCTGAACCAGAAGCAGATGTTCGATGGGGTGGGTATTGTCGCCGAACATGTCGGCGGGCATTTGCAGCTGCATTATGTGTGCACGGACCTCCAACCTGAAAATGAATACAGAAACATTCTCTATAATTTATAGAAAATTTTTAAAAAATTAAATTTAGAATGTGAAAATTCATTCTTAGTAACTCAAGTTACTAAGTTTTTCTTAAAAATGAAATTCTATTCATGTATACTATATTTGTTTCAGACTTAGGCTTAGAGTACTCAAACCTTAAATCATATTTAATGAGTAAATCAAAAGCTTTTTTAAACTTAAATCAGCTTTGTTATTGAAAGAAATGCTTCCTGTAATCACAGAAACTTTTCAATAAATAATTTTGTATGATATAAAATAAATTATTACTCATTACTCACATGAGTCGTATATATAATATTATAATAATTATATGTATGTATTATTACAAAAGTATTAAAATATATTCCACCTGTGGAGGAAGCCCAGCTGGATTCTGATTAGCTAATTCTGTTGTCTCAGCATATAAGCAGCTTGATTCACTGCAAGAGCAACATGTATCACTGGCATCACCACTGCTGCAACTACCACGGTCTTCATCCCAGGAACCTGCAGTGGTGGAATCCTCTCCACCTGGGCTCCGCCAACGATCGCAGTCACTATAGTCTCCCATTACTGCTTCGCCATCAGAAGGATTACCTGGAAGCATAGTTGTGTTTTATCTAGTTACTATGAAAATAACTGCTTTTAAAGCCTTCAACTAAAATATTAAAAAAAATTGTTTCTAATTTGAACTATTTGCTTAAATTGAATAATTAATCAATATGAATTATTTTACTGTTAAAATTATTAAAGAAATTGTAGAAAAGCTTGTCTTCAACAAAAATGTTTTAATCTTTGCTCAAAAGAAATACTAAAATTAAAAAAACATTTTCTTAAAATATCAACATTTTAAAGAAATTGCAGAGGGAAGTATTTAAAATGAATGAATATGATGTCAATGATATGTTAAATAAGACAACAAAATTTATAACTATTTGAAAATATTTCAAGTATTCTTACCCAGATCCATGGCCATTTGAGCAGCAACACTAGGGTGCAGTCTGGATGAAAGGTTTTCCGATGCTAAACTTGGGAGAGAAGATTGAATTCCTCGGTCCATAGCTCCATAACCTGCACTACTGCCAATCTGAGATGTACCTCCTGGTAAAAAAGCTATTTGTTAGTAACTGAAGTACTGGTAAACATTTAACATTTCAAAATTTATTTATTTTAAGGGCAAGAAATAGACATAATTTTACTCATGGAATAATGATGATAATTTCTAATGCAGAATATTACCACTCACCTGTTGAAGAATTGTGCTGCTGATAATCATCATGGCCTCCTCCAGTGTCTCCATACACTAATGACCCACTTTCATAAATTGATTCCTCCAAATGAGGATTTCCATTTGGATTCCCACTGGGACTCTTGGCATGGTGATGATGATGATGGTGGTGGTGATTGTGATGGTGGCCAGGGTGCTGTGATCCACTGTGATTACTACTTCCCCCAGTTGAACTGCCTCCAGCTCCTCCAAAGCCCATTGGAAAATTTGGAACCTGTGGCACAGTGGACATCAAATTTAAAGATATTTTGTCTTCTTTAAATAAAAATATTAAGAACCCTTAGTTTCTATTGTCATTGCACTGAATGGGCTCTCAATTTTCAAGTTTAAGCAAGTTAAGGGAGGTTAGAAGCCTTTTTTATTGATTTTAAGAATTCTTTCTTACGCTGGGCAATTCAACAGTAGCATTTCAGTCAAATTCTGATAATGACAACAACTGAAATGTGTATGTAAACAATGGGACAAGTCCCCCTGAGCAAATGGTGAAGAACTGAAAAAATATTTAGATTCTGTTGAATCGATTTAAGAGCAATCTGTGGGAATGTCCTCTTGTTCCTCTCTATATTGAACAACCTGAAAGGTTCTAGTAAATAATCATCTCTTTTTTCACAATAATTCACAAGTTTTATAACTGTAGTCTACAAGCTAACTGTAGTAGTTTATAAGCTAACATCCACAAAATTATGAATGTGATAGAAAAACAAGATATTCTTCATCATGTCTTGTTATGGGCAAATTAAAGCTTACTGTCTAAATAATTGTACTGCTGGAAAAAAATACCCTGAAATCCAGAAGAAAATCCAGTACATTTTTCAAGGTAACCCTTTATTTTAATAATACTCTAGCACAATTAGCAGTCAACTTTTAAAATATTTTCTCTACATTAAATTTCACATGGATGTAATCTACACCAAATACTCTCTCTATTTTTCATACCACTTGGGACGGAGTTTCCAAATTACTTCACTCAATTGTTCAAAACACATTAACCTTATCTCATCACTTTTAATTTTTTTCATCAACAATCCTGGATGAATGAGAAAATTATTGTTAGTTATATTGTTTTTCTTTTAACATTAATGTGAATATTAAAAATACTACTGACTTGCATTTGCAAGTTGGCTAAACATTTCAGTTCTTCATAAGAAAAAAAAGCAAAATTCTTCTAGAAAAATTAATAATTTCCTCATTGCCCTTGTCAATTAGCAGTTACTACATATGATATGACTCTGGATGGACCTTTAAATATGAGAACTAAAGGTGTTAATAGAAACAAAATGTATATATAGGTTGTGATCTACCAACGAAACAATAAAATATTCGTAAACCAAATTAATTCAATGGCCATCCACTGTCACTATTCTACCTCTTTCAATCATTTTAAACTACCGATCATCTCTAGGGAGTTAAAAAGACTTACTCTAATCTACTTATAAAGTTTCTAATTTCCATTTGTAATATCTTGAATACAAAAGATATTACACCCACAAAAATGGCACCCTTCAATATCAACATTGTAAATGATGAAGCAAAATAAATATTAAAAAGGATAATTGCTGCAAATGGGTGTAACAATTAACAATTTGGCAACTTGTACATTTGAGATCTGTTCAATGCCTGTGACCATATATGGTATGACATCATAGTACCATCAAAGTAAGAAGCATTGGTTTGAATGAGACATTTGATGAATGCTAGTAAACATTTGTACCAGTGATATTTTCCAGCCTACATTGACATTCACTCTTAACCCAGCTTATTGGCTTCCTGGTCATTGACTATTGTAATCCATAGCAATTTTAAATGCATTTTTTATATTATTTCTGCAACATTGTCACAGAGTGCATTTCCAGTATGCTCATATGCACCCACAATGGCGTAGATAAATGATAGGGACATATATGCATTTTCTCTTACATCATTAAAAACTTTATACAATGACTTAATACAACAATATAAAAAAACAACAACAGACAAACCGTTTAGAAAGAATGGAGTAAATCAGGCTACCTAAACAAGTGCTACAGTACAACCCAAAAGGGAGAAGAAATGTAGGAAGACCACTTAGAAGATGGTTTGATGTATGAAACAGAACAGGCAGCTGCCTAATCCTTGTAGTGCAGAGGAAGAAGATTGTTAAAAACCTTTACAGCATTGTAGAATGCTTTTTTTGGGATGAGTACATAAGCTGAATTTTAATCAACAAATTATTAAAGTCACAAGCTTTCATTACAAATACAGTGACAAGTTCGCAACTGATGTTTCCTTGACTGGGAGGTCCTAGGTTTGAGTCCCATTTGTTGGCTGAACATTTGTTACCATTAAAATAACTGGCTCCAAACATATCATCTCAGAAACAGCAACTTGCTATGAATTCTCTGAGACAATAAATGTGACTTGACATAAATGGCATAAACAGAATATTAGAATTATTGAAGTTTTTTCTAAGCTTGGTTTTATAACTCTGTCTTCTTATGTGTTAACAGACCATTTCTTATTTTGAATGAAAGTCCATAAAACATTTCCTATAAATTAAAACTCAATAACTTTTGTTTTTCATTTACTCTAATTTTTCAAAAATTAATGTCTGATAAACACAAATAATAACAATACATATAAAGTGTATGTATATCAATGGTCAACCTACCGGTGGAGGGTGCTGCTGGGGTGGCATAAGGGAATATCTTCCTCCTGAGTTGCTGCCATACATATTCTGTTCTGCAGGATTATTGGGGACCCAAGGTCCTGTGTATCCTGCACTACTGCAACTGCTTCCACCTCGAACAGGAGGCAGAGGAGGAGTGTTGCCCATAGGAACTAAAGGAAAATGTAATTACCTTTTTTATTTAATTACCTTCATTAAATTTGAATATTACATTTTAACTACAAATATTATTTGGCTTCTTTCAAGAAATTAACATTCTGTAACATTCTGTAATATAACTGATGTATACTCTGCCATAACACAAAACGCATTTTTTATGTAATGCTCGCAGTATAACAGATTCTTAAATTCAAATAAAACGTTATAAAAATTTTTTTGGGGATAGAGAAACAATTCCAAGAATACGCTCTATTTGTTATTTATTTAAAACTGAAAATATCATCAATAAGTAGTAAGTATATCTATTTCTCAAGAAACAGATAAACTTACCAGCATGATTTCCCTCACCAGGATGAGAAAGATGACCAAGAGGTGTTCCTTCTCGAGAGCATGTGTTTCTCTTGCCAAGAAGAGGGCTATTGGGATTGAAATTTCCTGTATGAGGATGGAAATTGGGAGATACTCCCCTATTTGAGGAACTTCCAGATGGCATCTGAAACATTCACAGAACACAATTACTGATGTCTACTTTTTATACTTGACAAGACAGAATGTTGTGTTGAGTTAAGTTCAAAATATATTCAATTTTTGTGTGATTACATCACCAGTTTTATAATATAACATTTCATTTACAATCAATATTTTTTCAATCAGATTCATTATATTGCAGGCACCTACATATTCTACTTCAAGTTATAACAATTGCTTGATCATCCTGCCCTATATACAAAGTGTTGCATACAAAAATGACAAGCTTGTGAGATGCTTCAAAATAAAGACAGCCTACAAAGCCCATGAAAAACTTGGGCAAAAGTTTGTAGGTGTTAAAAACCTCATATACTCCTGTAATCAGAGGTATATGAGATTCCACACAGCTGTGGCCAGTTATATTAGTAAGAAGGGGTGAATAATGGCTCCATGAACACATTTGCCATTACAATAACAATAAGAATAATAAATCAGCCAATGCTTTTCATGCATGAAAAACTGGCCACACTATTCTTTTTGATAACATCCGTCTCCTAGCCAAGGAAGATCACTGAGGGTTGAGGAAGGTAAAAGAGGCTGTGGTTATTTTCAAACATCCTCAAAATCTCAATTTCAATCAAGGTCTCTGTTTCCAAATGATAGGGAGACATCCAATTTGCCCATCTGAGAGTGCGGTCTCCACTGTTCCATTTCCCACCCTGCCATTGACGATTGGCCAATGCTCTCTCCACATTGGCTGATCAACCAGCCAAATGGCCGACAGATGGAGGGGAACCTCACTGTAATAAAATTGTGCATAATCAATCTCTGCACATTTCACCCTGAGGAAAGTTGCAGAAAAGTGGCCAAATTGTTGACACCTGTGCCCAAGACATGGCGTCTCCTGTACAGCAAAGTAGTTACTGACTATGGTCATGGAAGCCTATGCTATTAAAGTCAATCATTGATTCATCAGTATTGTGACATAAATCCAAAATCTTACTATGCAAACCCATTCCAATTTAGATTGATTAATACAATTGGAACATTTTATTTTTTAAATATATAGAGAGAAACATTTGGGCAAGCCTGTATTCTTTTCACATTTTATGTAAGTTGATATTACATTATGCCTGTATCAATTTTAATGTGTAATATTTTCCAATCCCTTTCATTTGTATGGTTGTGAGTTATGATGAGGTTGGATTAGGCTCGTGTAACATTGAATACAAAACCATAGAAATGAGTAAATAAATAAATTTCATTTGCTAGCTATATTCATATATTCATAAATTTTATATATTCTAATTGTCTGAAATTAAGAGGACACTTCATGTACAGTACTCTCTAAAACTAAAAGATACTGTTAAAATTCAGGTGCAGTACATACCTGCAACCTATTATTAGAAATGCCTTCATTCATTGTAGATGGTGGAGGATGCTCTGGCGGAGGAGGAAGTAGCTCCGACCAGTTAGGAAGTACTTGCTGTCCTCCTACTGGGAACTTTCTCACTTGTGAAGGAGGTTGATGTAAAGGTAGCCGACGAAGTTGCATGTTTCCATCATCTGCAAAACATAATTACATAATTGCAATACACACATAAAACTTAATTAATTAATTTAACATTCAAATTTAATTTCAATACAAAACTTTTCAACAAAAAGAATATGAAATATTAGTAGCTATCATTATTGTAAGTGGGCTTACCAGCATACATATTGCCTACTTCTGAGCTAGGGCTACTTGATTTATTGCCAGGCTCAGGGTTTGTGTCCAAACTTGACAAGTCTGGTTTCACGCACGAATCACTGGAACTAGATGTCTTAGCTTCCCCAGGACCTCCCACTGTAATGGGCATAAACATATGCCCATTGTCCTTAAAGGAAAAAGTTGTCTCATGTAACAATCATATCTCTCAAAATAAAGAAATTAAAAGCATATTTTGTTGAAAAATAAAAATATTTTATGAATTATAAATTAGTTCTCACCATTTCTCTTCGAGGAATGGAATTGATAAGTGTAGTAGTTGCATATGGAGCTGGTATTTCAGGAACATTATCTTTATTGTTACGATTACAACTGTAAAATGTAGTTAAATTTCGAGTATCCACTTCTGCATAATCAGTTGTATTTGAAACTAGCTCCAAGCTTGGAGCACCAGTATTTAATAACTTGGTCTCAGAAGGAAGACCTGCATCTTTGTCAGCTGGACGCCATCCTCTGTCAATCCACAGTGTTTCCTTCCCATTCATTAAATTCAGCTGGGATATATCATTGGCATTAACCACAGGAACTAAAAGAAGAGCAAATAATGAAAACAATGTAAAATTTGACAAAATTATATTTATGTATATATTAGAAAAAACACAAAGCCATTATCTACCGCAAACAGCTGACAACCAGGAGAGCTACCTACACTTTCAGAATATTGAGATCATTACAATAGGTCTTTCTCACTTTGCCACTTTACTATTTAATGTTACACTAATTTAATTCACAAGAATACATATTATTGTACACATGATATTGTACATCCAAGTTTAATATAAAGGTAAGTTTCAGCAAAAATTGTGAATTAAATAGACTGACAAAGTTGCTAAGATATTTAAAAGAAAATAAATATCCATTGTGTGATTTAGAATTGATTAAATTAAAAAAAGCTAAATCAGTTACAAGCAGATTTGTTCTACAACTTAATACATGCATTTTTCCATTATTTTTTCAATCTAATGATGCATTGAATTTATAAAGTGATTGAAGACTGTTATAATGAATTTCTCTTTAAATCTAAACTAATTCTTAATATACCATGAAAGAAGAGGAAATATTGGAATAAAATTAGAATACAGAGCCTAATAACTAATCTACTTAATTCATTTAGAGTGGTACACCACGAACTTTTAAGTAATATTTAAAAAAATCTCAATTGTTCCATAATGTGTTATTCATTTTTCAAATTCTCATATAGAACATAGAAAGATCATACAGAGCATATTTGTGAGGTAGAGATTGTTATTTCAACATAAGTAAAACACTAGTATACACATGAAATTAAACTAAGTAAAAAATAATGCTATGACGCCATGCAATCAAAATTCTAATGCAGGTCAATTTCAGTGTGGTGCTAGAACGAAATATAATTAACATTTTCCTTTATCCTTGACTATTCCTTAAACTCATTCTAACTATTAAATTTACAAAAACAAACAGAATTCAGAACAAGTAATGTCTTTTTGGAGCATCAGAACTTGCATTCTTCATTATACAGATTTTATGGCAAATATCACTAATTTTTATAATAATTAAACTTAAAAATCTCTAAATTATAATCACATTTCTTATGTAGAAGATTTTGTTAATAATTTTCCGTTTCATTTGGATGATATAAATTCATAAGTATGTTCATGACAAATGCAAAAAAGAAATATAGATTATCGCCATAGTAAAACATGTCAAAAGCCAAGACACTGATGAATCTTTGTGAATTGAAAGAGATGGTTCCTAAGAAGGAATTTCAAATGAAAAAACTTCAATATAAAGTCATACAATTGGTTATTTTTGAAGTTTATTTTCTTTCCAAACAAATATCTATACATAAATATTCACTACTTACGAGACAATTTAATATTAAATACACGAACAAATAATAAAAATAAAAACATAAATCAATACTAGACATGCATTTACATAAGAGCATGAATTTATTGTCACTGAATGATATTTAGATATTTAGTGGTGAAAAGATCTTATTGTATGAATTAATAAACATCCTAATTACCACACCAATTAGAATAAGCATTTTTGTAACATTAATTTCAATTTCCTTCAAATGATAATATAAATTAAACACAAAGGAACTTTTATGTAAAAATTCATTGTTTCCCATTGAAATTTCAGATAGAAAATTTGATTTACAGAGTATATTTTTTATGGCGAAGTCTAATTCAAGAAAGACTGCTTATATATGTGAGTCAGCTATAATCCCTCACATGTAAGATACCAAGAAAAAAGAAGAATTTTTTGTCATTGTCTCATTTAAAGACATTCCAGTAGAGTTAACTGCAAGGCATATTTGCTAACAAAATATAATGAACCATCTTGCAATAAATTTTCTATTGTTTATGCAAAACTAAATTCAGACAGTTGATTGTTGCAAGTAATGTGATGTGTTTTAAAGAAGAAAAATTATGTCATCACCTTAAAAATTTACTTGTCATGTAAAGATGTTAAGAAAATAAGATGTTTGTTGAGTGTGCAGATAGCTCCTAAAATCCAGCTCTAGAAAAGACACAGGGAATTCTACACAAACAAGGACACCGAGGAGGACAAAGGGAAGGATGCATTCCAGTTACTGTGAGTGTTAGAGGGGGTGATATTTACGTGTGTCTAAATCAGGGTGGTCCAACGGGGGGCCCAGAGCCCAGATGTGGCCCATGGGGTGGGTGCGTCTCGCCCCCAAATGATTCTCAGCTGGAAACAACCACCGATGAGTGATTAGTTTTCATACGGATGGTGTGATGAAATGAACAAGTGTGAAGTATAACAGTGACAGCAATAGAAGAACTATGGGCATGGAATACTAGTACACATCTGTCTACAACAAGAATACACACATTTTAACACATCTAGATCAGTGTTTCGAAGGTAGTATTTAGAAGTGAATATAACTGTTTCTTCTTTGTTACAGTGTTAATATTTTAGTGTTTCAATAACACTGTTAAGAGAGATAAAGGTAAGTTCTATGTCAACCAACACGTCAGGAACTGAATTGAATCACTGATCTAGAAAAGTAACACAATATTATATTAGAAGACCACCCTGACCTAAACCAGCACATAAAATCTTCTGTGTCTGTGAAAGTTAAAAGTGCATACAAATTTCATAATGAAACTTACCATTTAGGTGGCCAAGTTCCTTGCCCATTGCTTGTCTTCGGCGTAAATACAGCATTCCCACAAATCCAAGGACAAGAGCCAAGACAAGAGATGCCATAAGCACCAGGAACCATGTCTCTTGTACAACAGAACCACCACTTCCTTCACTTGGATGTGCTCTATATGAGAAAGAAAATTATTCAATTACTTTGACCTAAACAAAAGAACTTTGGTGTAAATGGTCTGAGGGAGCCAACTATGATAGCCTTTTAGCACCTAACTCTAAATGGGATTACAATTCACTATTGATCAGAATAAGATTATTCTTTTAAAGGAGCCCATTGAATAGTAATAAAAAAAAAAGTTATTGTTGATAGCAGCCATTTTATAATTTTCATTGAAAGAAGAATAGAAAATTCAGTGATCAATATAACATCAAACACATCAACTTTACAAAACATATACCATGTATATTTCACAATGTTTTACAGTTGGAAATTTGCAAAGAAAATTCACCTAGGAGGATATTGATGAAGCAATGCAGGGTCCATAATGAGAGAAACTGGACTAGAGAATGGACCCAAGCCTCTTCGTGTGTATGCTGCAACACGAGCAGTATATGCGCCGCCAGTTGTAAGGTTATTCAACAACACAGAAGTTGTGGAAGCATTTAATGTCATCTGGGCAAGCACTTTTGTACCATTCCCTTTCACCTGGATCTGGAAAAAACAAGTTTCAAAGTATGGTCATCATTGGATGTGTGAAACATTTTGTATTAATTTTGTTAAAAAAACAATAGAAAAATTAAAACTTATAATAAAATGAATATCTAATGTACTTAACACACACATGTACTTATATTGCAGTTAATATTCACAATAATAGAATCAGTTTTTGTGGATTAAAATTAGTAAAATATTTCATCTTATTTCAGTTTTCTTAAATTTCCGCGAAGGTACTCCTCATCTGTTTTTGTTTCTTCCCCTTGTAATATAAAATGTATGTAAAAACAACCTAGACATTTTGAAATTTCTCTGATTGTACCTTGTACCCAAGGAGAACACCATTATGATGTGCTGGTGGAGGAGATGACCATTTAACATATGCTGCTGTGGTGTTAATCATTCCAACTTGAATATTGTCTGGCGGTGCTGATGGAACTGGGAAAAAAACACCCAAGAATAAATATAACTAATTTTTTTTATAGATTGAGTGATAAATAGTAAACTCATGTTATAAATTCTTACATGTTGTAATTTTCAGAAATATAAAAGTTGCAAAAAAACAGAGTAAAATTAAATCGAAGTTAAATGAAAGAAATATTCATTAACTAATTCATCAAAAAATCACTTTAATACACATACCATCTTCCAAAGTTTGAACATTCTTGGTGTTTGATGGTTGACCTTCAACTGATTTGTAGAATGGAACCAAGAAGAATTCATACTTGGTGTATTTGCGCAAATTGGTGACTGCATAGCTTGTAGCTCCAGCATTCAACACAGTAACCATATTATACTTCTGAGATCCTCCCGACAGATCTCTAAATCTTACATATAATCCTTCTACATAGCCTTCACCAGATAAGATCTGTAGTGTTCAGAGAATAGAAAAATCAGTAGTGACTCATATGAGGTAGGTTGAAACTGCATACTACAGTAATAATAAAGTTAACAAAAAATGAAAAATTTACAAAATATATAACATGATACATTAGTTTTAAAAATTAAATTGTTATTTCAATATTCAAAGTAAACCACAATATAATTTTAGGAAGACTCACAAGCTATTTTATTAATCTATAATGAAGTTATTTTCAAAATAGAATATTTGACTGAGTAAAATGTTTAAATCATAAAGAAAACATCAATTTAAAATTAAATAATTTATTTGGAGTTCTGCTATTTACTTGTTTCTATTGATTTGCGGATAGGATTTTGATGATTAACATTATTTTCATTCAATCTGCATATGTTACATAAAATTGCCCAAACATTTTCATACTTTTTCTGAACTCCTTTTAAAACAAAATTTGAAGTGCAAACTTACATCCCACAAGAGACGTACTGCTGTTGAGTTAAGAGGTTGAACATCACGAAGTGTTACAACCTTTGCACTAAGCCTGGCACGTGCTTCATCAAGTTCATAACGTGGCACTGCTCGACGATCAGCCCTTTGTGTTCGTGCTGATTCCGAAAGAGGACTGGGAATAGATAGACCATATGGATTTTCAGCACGTACAAGGAAAACATAAGACGTGTCTGGCTTCAGATCACCAATCTGTAAATAAGAAGTAGCAACTCAAAATGATAATAACATCAACATCTACAATAAAACCAATACAATTGGCCAAATACGGTTTTTGCATATTGGACACAAAAATATCATGCAGCATAATATTATTATATTATTAATTTATGATATTAATAATTTTTTCAGTTTCAGAAACCAACAGAATTACATTTCCGAATTTCAAGCATTAATATTAAAAATGATGCTGAGAGAAAGGAGAATATTATAATTAATTATATACTATAAATATTAAAACCATTATGAAGAGATAATGGATAATATAAAAAAGAATAAAATGTTCCTGTATGATTCATAACTATGTACACAATAAATTATAATCTATAAAGAACTTACTGTAATTGTGTCTGTTGCAACTCTATTTGCTGCCACCACCCATCCTGTTTGAAGATCTGAACTGAAGTACTCTACGGTGTAACCTATAGGAGGTTCTGTTGTTCCAGCAGTTCCAGTGGCGCTACTCGACCCCTGGCGCCATGACAATGTTATTGAACTTTCAGTGACATTTAAAATACGAGGCTGTGGTGGAGAGGCTGGGAACAAGCTAGGATCTGGGGCTCGATGAAGACCTGGGCCTGAAGGACTAGGATTCTTTTCCACAGTCAATGAAGCAGACCATGAAGTTTCACCACTCTCTGATGAAGCAGTACAGGTATACAGGCCAGAATCTGTTAACTGCAAGTCTGTTAAAAAAAACAACAGTGAATTAAACTAAAGGCTTTGCACACACTTTATTTGTTAAAATGGTTACACTAATATAATGATAAATCAATAATTCTTACCATCAATATGTAGAGTTCCTGTTTCTAAAACTGTTATTCTAGGACCCTGACCAGCAAGGGGGGAACCATTTTTGTACCATTTTATTTTTGGAGGAGGAGTTCCAGTGGCCTGACATGGAAGTGTTGCAACAGACTTTAATGGTAGTGTCTGGTTCACTGGCCCAATTTGCACAATTGGAGGAGGCACATCATCAACTGATGTGACCTATATTTTGAAAAGGAAAGCTTTTTTTATCAAGAATGTTACATTGTTTAGAAAAAATGTGTAATTAACAATACATATACTTATATAAATCTAAATGAAGAAAATATAAGAATTTATATTTATGTTATCTGAAAATATTAAAAAAATATTATTAAGAGTTACTGAAAATGAAAGTAATATACCTGCAGGAAGGCTCGTGCAGTATTTGAACCAGCAACGCTCAAGGCAGAGCAAACCAAGAACCCAGCATCTTCACGCTGAACTCCCTGAATTCGAAGACTACCTTCAGGAGTCACATGAAGATGTCCATAAGAGTTCCCAGGGAACATTAATACCTGGCTCCCCTCCTTTGTCCAAAATACTGATGGGGGAGGGTTGCCTTTTGCTACACATTCAAACACAGCTATTCCATTCAGACCTACTTTCTGATCTTGTGGTTTTGTGATAAATGTTGGAGGAGCTAGAAGAAAAACATAAGTTTTTATTAATTTTTAATTTTTTTTAATTTTCTTTTTTTAATTTTACTCACTGAATAGAATGTAGTGAAATAAATTATTGATGGAACTTTCTTAAGTAAATATTTTTGATCTCTCAAAGTTTGTTGCCTAGAGTTACTTACAATGCACAGTCAGTGATGCTCTAGCTGATACACTGCCCACAACATTTTCCGCATCACAGATGTATAATCCTTCATCATCTGGAGTAACATGCTCTATATGAAGGCTTTTGTCATCAAGAATCTGTGCTCTGCCAATGGGCATCTTTCCATCATCACGTCGCCACAAGATGTTAGGAGCTGGGTCTCCTCCAACTCGACATTCAAATCTAACAGCACTGTCTTCTAAGACAGTAACATCTGATGGCTCTTTGCTGAAGAAGGGTTTGACTGTAAAATAAAATAGAAATGAATGTACCAAGGAATTTGTGAGGCATTATTTCAAATAGCTTACCTAAGTATACATGCATAAGTATTGTACCTTGATATCTACCAATAAATAAATATTGTATAATCGGGGTCATTAAAAAAAATATTTGTTAATGGAGAGACCCACAACTGTGATGATAATGAACAGAAGGGGTTGATGAAAAAAGAACATTCTCTATTCTCACTGTATTTTTGTAGTAGCAAATCTATTATTATATTTTTAATATCAAAATAAATATTCAATTTATCAAAAATGTTTCTTACTTTTTAATTTCAGGGAGGGGGGAGGAGGGACAAAGCTAATGTTTGCAAATTAATGACCTCACAAGAACTTCTCTTTTGAAAAATAGCATAATTCTTAACAAAATTAAATCACTTTTTGAAAATGAAAGGTGAAATTATTCTTACCATGAACTGTTAAGGTAGCAGGATTTGACTCCCGCACACCAACCATGTTTTGGGCAACACATTGGTATTTGCCTTCATCACCTTGACGTACATCAGTTATCATCAAATTGCCTCCATCAACAACTCTTAACCTAACAACATGAAAAAATGAAATAGGTTTTTGAACTTGTCAAGAAATTAAATTGAATAATTCTTATTTTTAATTTTCATTATTATTTTAAAACTATTACTTATAAAGTATTAATAAGAAACAAGGCAATTTTAGATGTTTTCTTTCTACTTTTGATATTTTCTACACACCTCTTTGAATTCTCCATTTCAATAACTTGCCCATTTTTTCGCCATTCAAGGCTGGGTTCAGGATGGCCTTTAGGGGGCCCACACTCCAGGAGGGCAGTTTCTCCAGCAGCCACCCTTGTATCCTTAGGTACTGGTCGGAACTCATCTCGGAGAACTGCACAAAAATTAACACCTGAGTTAATGCTTGTAATTAGAGTGAAGATTATAGGCTCTGGAATTAAAATGTCGTAGTAACTTAATGGTAGAATCATTGAACAAAACTAATTATTAAAAAATTACAAAATAGTTGAAGCCTAAAAAAGAATCCTAGATTTTATCTGATTAAAATAAATAAAGGAGTATGAGACTGATATTTTTGTTTGAGGCATTCTTAGTAAAACAATAAAACCAGGGGCCAATCATTCATAATGCCTATAAAATGAGTGAAGTGCTGAGATAGATTCTTTCTCATATGTCAATTACACCACCTCTTTGGAAATAGAGGCTATTATGTGGTGTTGTCTCTAAAAAATGCCAAATAAATAAGTAGCTTACGATTGGAACTGTCAGAAAGAATGTCTAGAAAGGGAAGTAAATCTGAGACCCTCTGAATCAGTATACCAATTCATTAAAAAGAACATTTTCTTTTTGTATTTTCTCTCACAAAAGGCATCTCTTAGCAACAATATTCAAAGAAAACTGAGTAGCCTAATGGCTACTCAGTTTTGTATTTTCCTTTGTTTCATAACACCACACAGTTTGTTGGATCCCACTTCATCCTACCAACTAAATATCAAAAGTCACAAACTATTCCAAAATAATACAATTGGAGTTTCTCCCCCAACTTATGAAATGCAAATTCTATCTCACTCATGGAGTAAATAACATTTAAATGATGATCTTGCTGAGTCAGCTAGAAAAAATAATTAATACCTTATTAATTCTTTTAATTATTAATGACTTATTCCTAGTTCCCATGGCGGTCTTTGACATCAGCATGCTCCACCTAACCCCTTTTATCCATTCATACCCTCCTATTTTAATATAAAAAGTCTATCATATTTTTCATGATAGACCTTTTATCCCAATTTTGTTAAATAATATGCTTAATTCATCAATACAAAGCAAAGGAGTCAAGATAACTTTCCTAAACCCTTGTTGAGTTTTTTACGAGTAATATCTTTTAAAACACTAGTGCAAAAGTACTTGCAAAATAATTGATGAACAGAACTCACAAGAGTTCATCCTAGAACAGTTATATAATATACCTACTTGCCATAAAAATAATAAATTAAATAAATAATAATAAATAATTAAATGATATGAATGGAATGAATGAATGAATGAATGAATGAATGAATGGAATGACATGAATGAATGAATGAATGAAGAATGAAATGAATGATGAATGAATAATTAAATAAATAAATAAATAAAAAACAAACAAACAAACAAACAAATAAAAAATAAATATTCTTATCTCATTTGACTCTCAGTTTTATCTCGACTATTTTGAGATGCATCAAAGAAAACTAGTGGTATAACAAAATGGCACAGACTTTCTCGTACTAGTTAGTTTCTTTGGTCTGGGCTAGCTTTTCAGTCGGGTCCAATCCTCTTGCCAGCTGCCATCTATCGCCACTCAAAGTACTTTTTTAATTTTTTTTTTTTTTTCAATTTTTCGGTTTTCTAATGGTAGAAGCAAAATATTGCTTTAAGAATATCAAAGAAGGCTGTGACATGGAATTTTCGTTCAGAAATGTGAAACTATTTTTAAGGACATATCAATTAAGAGTTATTGTAAATGCGAAATTTAAAGCTCATTTTCATAGAAAAGTTTTGAGTTTTCGAAAAACTTAATTGGAAATCATTTGAAGCACTTATACTCACAAATACAATAATGTATACAAAATGTATACAAACAACATGAGAGATATTTCATACATGTGTAATTTTTAAAAAAATAAAAAGAATTACATCAAAATGACTATGTCATCTTAAATTGTGCATTCAGCACAAAATGTATAAAAAGTTTGAAGAAAGAATTTGAAGCCGTTTTTGAGAAAATGACTTTTGAGTGTTTCTGAAAATGCAGAAATTTGAGCTCATTTTCACAGAAACTAAATTTTTGAAAAAGCAACAACTAAAGAATAAAGCAAAATGGCGTGTATCTTATCTTATCATCGAGCTGCAATGTATTAAATAGAGTGGCTGAAGTGCCTCCATCTTTGCCGCAAATTGAAGCCCTGTTTTGCAGTTAAAGCCGCGCCCTCCGGAGAAACGGAGTGTTCTAGTATTCCGTTCGGAGCTGGTTACGGCCGGATTGGCGTGGGCCGCGCGTTATATAAACCTCTTACTCTGTGTTCTACGACCAAACACCAATCATTTACAATCGGAATGCTAATGTGTTAGAAGAACGAATAGAGAAACTTTAATACCTACACGTTGCTTCCTGCATCAGTTATTGCCACAAGAATGGAAGATGTTGAAATGTTATTGAAGTTAAGAAAAAGTCTGAAAGTGAATGTTATTGCAATAAGAAGCAAACAAACGGATCACAAATAAGACGGAAAACTTGAAAAATGATATATTTGTGGTTTTTATGGAAAAATTTATATTTGGTATTCCTTTTTTAGTTATATGCCTAACGTACTAAACCATTGTGAATATTATTATTCTAACCACTAATATAATTGAAATACAGATAAATTAAAAGACAATAATATAGAAATAAGATCTGAAACAACCAACGCGCCACATCTCATGTTTTTATTACAGAAAACGCAGCGTCGACCAAGGGCGCTGAAACCATAGAATCAGTCATTCTATGTAACATATGTTAGTTCGTTGCTACTTACACAGTACATTGAGCCCTATACCTACAAAAAAGGTTCAAGACTTCAAGAAAAAAATTTGAAGCAGGTTTTGAGAAATTTTTGTTTTGCTCATATTTCACACAAAATTACGCGAAAACTACTGTAATGTTACAAAACAAGGTTCTTGACCTTAATGAAAGAACTAATTATGAAGAACAAACATCATTTGAAGGAAAAATCTCTTTCTTCAATTTTGTATTCGTAGAAAGACGCCGAATAAATTTCGAACTTTTGCTATTTAGCAGTGAAAATCGGACCTATGCCAGTATACCTATGTCACTATGACTCAGGGGCTTCATGTAAAGTACCCCCAAAAATTAATGAATATTATTCAAAACCTCTGCGCTTCGAGGGAGGCCAGATCGACCCGAGAGTACTCAGTTTGGAAAACATCCTATGCATAGTTTAGGCGCTAGTTGTTCGTAGACGACAGAGGGATGGGTGGACGAACGGACGTTTTGAAAAATGCACTCTCTCTCGGTTCCGAGGATTCACTATTCGCGAAATCTGCCTACATAACGTGTTAGACGGAGCAATTTACTACATATTAGAACAGGATTTGATTTGATACATTGAGCAAATCCTGAGATGGCTCCTTGTTATGCTTCTGGACGTAAATGTAGCTTCACTATACGCACGTTTTGTTGAACTCTCCTTTTGCTTGTAGTGGTAGGAGTAGAGGTAAGGGCGAGTAACTATTTTGTTAGCAATGCAGAAAAATCAAATCTACTGTTCGTTTACCGTTGCAAATAAGTTTTCTATAACTCGGGAATGAAAATGTCTAGTTTTTCAAATATTATTTAAATTTTATTTTTATTTATTTACGTTTAACTTTTACTCATCTTTCAACTATTTATAGTTAAAGTGAGGCGAAGAGATTCCGGAACTCAAGAAAACGTGCGCAGATCTTCTCCGCCGTACGTCACTGACAGTTTTTCTTTTTGGTTTTTTTTTCTGATTAAATCTAAATCTAAAATGTATCCACTTTTTCTGTCCCCCAAAATACGAAATTTTCTGTCGAAAATGTCAAATATTTGCCACAGCATTATATAACTTTCTACACACTAACGTACATTACCCTCGTATATAGTACGTACGTATGCCAGAAAGTAAACAGAACTGGCATATGCCGTCCTGCCTTAGTCAAATTGCAAAAGGACTGATGTTTAAGGAGAATGACCAAAATTTCCTTTATCCTGGATTGTTATATGCATTAAGCATAACTAATATCGTTTAATTATGTTCTCTATTATTATTATTATTATTGTTATTATTATTATTATTATTATTATTATTAAAAGATGGTATCCGTGATTGGAGAAAACAAAAGCTTGAAATATTAAAAAATTAAAAAGTTGCTTCTTACTAGAACATAGGGAAACTAATTGTTCTATTGTTATTTATCGGTATATTCGAAGTATTTTGACATACTTGAGATAGCACGTGCCTTATAGATAATCAGTGTCTGAATATTGAACAACGGCCCCATACCGGAAGTATAATCTTGGCACGTGAACTCTGTTTACATTCAGCACAATCAGCCATTTTGCTCCGACTTTCGCCGCGTTCGTTCAAGCGTCTGCTGAGCAGCGAAGAAGCTTCGTATCCTGACGGAGGCGAAGGCGGCGGCGAGATCACACGTGGCGCCGACCGGGGAGGTTGCTGCTGCAGATGGCTCTGACAGACAGCTTCCGACAAATGGCTCCCGCCGCCCGGAGCGCTTCCGAGCCGTCGTGGCTCGCCGGGGTGCCACCGAGGGGTTCAGGAGGCTGCGGCGGGCGACGGGACCAAGGCAGGGAGCAGCCGGGGGTGGGTAGGGGGGGGGCGGTGGAGCTTTATAGCCGGAAGACGTTAAATCGCGACGTATTTTTAGGCGGCCCAGCACATCTGATGGGCTCGCCAGCGACCTTGGGTCAGGCGCGCGAAGCTGATCAAATCACGAGATGTTCGCCCTTTGGATCCGTGCGTCTGAAGAGCCAAGCAGGTTCGAGTCAACGTAGATCGGTGATATTTATGGAGCGTTTCTTATCGCCTTTTACAACGAAAATCTGGATTCATGTAAGTTGCCATCGTCGTCGTTGTAGTCGGCGTCTAATGTGGAGATTCTGGATTAGGATTCCGAAATGGACTGAATAGTTTGGAAGTGCCAAGTTGGGGATCATATTGTCTCACAGCACTACCAACTGATTTTACACCCATACACGCAGCCAGGGACCGTCAACAACGATGGTCTTATTCGGTGGCGTCATTCCTTGGCTGCGGGAAAATGGGATCGGATTATTTGATTAATTTAATTTGGCAGGGAGGCACTTAGCCAGAACTTTTTGGACGATGTGCTACTCTGACATGGTACTTGAAGATTTCTCGCCCTTTGAAAAGCTTCTGTTATCCAACAG